GTATAGATTCACATCACTTATCACAACTGAATTCAACTTATAAGACGATGAAAAACTGCAAGACATATGACAATTGCTATTTCCGAACTAAATTTTTAAAATTTATTTGATTATATATATTTTCTTGTTTAATAAATTTTTTTATTTACTTAAGAAGACATAATTAATGTATGTAAGGACGGAAATTCACAAGAACTATTTATTTTATCACCAACTACGAGAGCCATCAATCTATGAATTTTAATACTAATAGCTGCATCATCATATAGGCTCGTTGAATCCAATTAAACTGGTCTTTAAATCAAATACTCGTTATTTAAACTATTCACCTTCTAGGGATTCTAATAGAGCAATTTAATTTAATAATTAAAACAGATTATAAAAATAATAATCAAATTTAATTAATTTACCAAATAATTTTTTAAGATCAAGGGTAAAAATATTTTTATCAATAAATAAACAATATAATATAATATTATAACAACTTTTATTTAATAAAGGAACTTTTTTATAAAAACAATTGCTAAATTTTAAATAACAGTGAAAATACTTTTAACATTATTGTTAACACTAATGATATACTAACAACTAATTTAACAATGTTATATGAAAATATATAATATTTTGTACGTCATGTCTATAGTAATAGAATCAAGTGATCAACAATTAGCCGAAAATATTGTCATAAAATTTTTCAAATATATTTTTTCCACATCTATGAAACTCTTTCATTTGTAAGATATATTCTTCAAATACTTTTGGGTCCGAAGGACCCCATGTACATGTTGGCTTTATAGCTTGTTGGAGTTTCTAATAAGTAAATAAATAAAATTTATTAAATATGAATATACATTTATACATATAATTTTTCGGTCATATTACCTCTCTAAACGTGCTACCAGGTTGCCGATACACAGCATAAATAGCCCATAATGGCAATTGCCCCACACCTATAGCCCATATAAGCCAAGCAATATTATATATATGTTCAGGATATTTAATTTCTTTGTATTCCAACGGCTCATATGTGATAAGAGTATAAATTAAAACAATAAACATTAGACCAGGAGTAATAATTGACCAACATATTCGCCAATAAAATCCAGTTTTAATATTACACATAAACTCTATATCACGGCATAAGCGTTTTACACCTGAAACATAATTTATTACACAAATTAAACTATATTTTGTTTTTTATATGCTTTAAGATATACCATAAATCCAACTTATTGCTACAAGTTCCGCTATAGCCAAAACTAACGCTATAAAAGAACAACCAAAAAAATCGACGATCTTGAGTATAAATTGTCCACCAGGTGTTACATAAATCAAACCACATAGAAATCCTATTGTAGAGATCATACTTGCTAGCAGCCAATGTGGCAAGTGTTCAAAACGATCTTTTATTACTTTTATCACACAAGACGTCATGCCAATATTACTACCTATACCAAGCACAAGCAACATCTGGAAGAAGAGAACTGCGAACACTTTTGGTAAGTATTTAAATTTCGCTATAGCTTCAGGATAAGAAATGAATGCTAAGCCTGTTCCTCCTTTGACAACATTAGCTATATCAGTCGAATTTGTTTCATATGCCAAATTTCCAAGAATACCAAAAATAATACATCCAGCCAGTATGGATGTTAATGAATCGATTGAAGTTATTATCATTACATCCCTAAAAATTAATTATAATATTAGAGAAATATATATATAGATATATAATTAATCTATATTAATATAATTAAGATATATAATAAATATAATTAATATAGGACTAATCAGAGTTAGAGTTAGAGGTACTTTCGAATTATTAATATAGAATCACTGCAGAAACCTATAAACTCCACAGCTGTGTTATAACTACAAAATTAAAATTATTTTGAACAGCTAAATATTGTTGTTTATATTACAGGAAATATTTTAAGTATATAAATACATTATAATCTCATATCTTATAAATTTACACTTAAAGCCAATATGGTTATAGTGTTTAGGTCCTTTAGATTCAGATACAAAATTATATAATTTGACTACTTATTAATACTTTGTGTTCGCTAAGTATTAATTATATATTGTTGCATTTTTGTTTGAAACTGACGAAAGGAGTACCGATGAGATTTGCACCGCATAATGGAGGTATCAAATTTTAAGTATTGAAAATGATATCAAAAAGTGAATTTAATTTTTATAGCTGGCAAAAGTAGTGAGGATAAAATGATAAAAGTTTTTATGGTACGGTTGCTATTTGTCGGGTACGCCCTTTTTATAATGGATTATAGTAAAGATATATTTTTTACAATTTTGTCCAGTATGCTACATGGCAATATATCTTTAGTTTAGATATCAGGCTTTAAAGCTAAAGAATATTACATGAAAAGCACCGTGTAATGAAAAATTTATATCTGCTAGTTGACACCAGGTAGCGTATGAAATTTTTATTACTTTTAGCCAATATAAAAAATTAACTTCAAGTCCCGATATCTCGAAAAATGTAACAAAACGGTGACTATTGGATACTTGATCAAAAGAAGAAGATCTCTCTGATCTGAAACACCTGTCCTTTCTAACTTCAAATTTATTTACAAATTTTTTATTTCTATTATAAGATGATGTTCCTTAAAACTTTCTGTTCTTATTTATTTAATGCGGAATAGAATAATTGTTTTGTAACAAATCAACAACAATTTAGTTACATGTATCCAAAAAAAAGAAAAAAAAAATAAAATGATCTATATTAAATTTTTTAAATTGGATGTGCGAATACATACCTATGAACATTTTTTCTAAAGTCATTGTAAGAAGCATACATAATTAAGGTTCCAAAGCAAATTGCCAATGAGAAGAACATTTGAGTTATTGCAGCATACCAAACCTATTAATTTTAAAGTATATTTAAAGGTATAAATCCAAATTTGATAAATATTTACAAACCACCTACTTTTGCACTTAGTAGTTGTTCCCATTGAGGCTTCAAAAAATATATAATACCATTCATTGCACCCGGAAGCGTAATAGCACGCCATAATAAAATAAACATAACCGCATATGGGAAAAGAGCCAAAAAATATGAGGCCTTGCCAGAGCTTTGAATACCTGAAATACAAATATAGTTACTAATTCCAAATTTTTTTATTACAATTTGTTTAGTCTTTAAACCTTTAATTAGAATGACACCAATTAAAATCCAAGCAATTAATAAACATATTACTAAATCCCAGTTGAGTTCACCAAGACCATCACTAATATTATCTTTCTCGCGTAGTACTGTTTTACTGTTTTGTTTAAATAAACAATAAAATTAGAAAAAAATATATGTTTTATCTTAAGCAGTTTGCAGCATAGAAACTTACGTAAAAAATAATTCTGCAGAAGATATATGTTTTTCTGTTGTGCCATTAGTAGAAGTCATATTTGCAGTAGCAACACAAGCACTACCCCACTCCGGTTTACACACAGTCCAAGGCAAAATGTCATCAAAAGATGATATCAGGTATTTTAAAGTCAAGGCCATGACACAAGCGTAATATGTGGTAGCCACTGCAGTTGAATACACTTGTCCATAAGCAACACCTACAAATATTTCTTCCACATGTAGTATTATATTAATGTTACTATAATATTAATACCTCTCATTAATGGTACCATATCAAATGCTTTTATGCAACCTCTGCCTGAAAACTGCCCAAGTATAACTTCTAAATAGTAAACTGGCCGTCCAATCAACATTAGGACTATTATATATGGTATAACAAATGCTCCGCCACCATTTTCAAGTGCAATAAATGGAAAACGCCATACATTACCCAAACCCACCGATAGCGCAATGCATGAAAACAAGAACTCTATTTCTTTACCCCACTTTTCCTGAGCGGTACTATTCGATATTGTGGTATATGTAACTGATTCCTGAGTATGAGTAAATAGAAATTTTTATCTGAACAGAGAGTTTTTATACAGTGTGTACACAATACCACATCTTTTTCCTTTGTAAAAATTATATCCGTTTTTAAGTCTCTTTCCGGAACCAAAATGTTGATTTGTTTCTGCGCCAATTTATCGTACTCCGAACTCATTTTATTTTTTACACAATTATCAACTTTCTTCGGTAACAACTGAATAACGTCATCTGCGTAGTGTCTCTGAAAGCAGTAAATTAGTTTACTTTTAATACAATGTAAGAATTTTATCGCCTAGCAAAAAAAGAAAAATTTGTTAAGATTTAATATGATTGCAATAAGAAATTGTACAATTGTGGTGCAATAAAATTTACAAAGGGCATTTGAAAGTGCTTATAACTTAAGGGTTCTACTATTTGTATAATGTGGTTTCTTAAATATATTAAATTTAAGATATTATAAATGTTACAATAATTTATATTTAAAATATATTTTTTAACTTTATCGTTTTTTAAAACGAACGTATTATTATTGTCTATAAGTTATCATAGGACTCTATATGCACTAAGTATATATTTGCAAATTTCAACAAGTCCATCATACATACGTCTATCATAAGACATAAGACATAAGTCCATTAGCCATTTGTTTTTTTTTTTTGGCTAACTGTGAGCGTTCACTTCATTTGTTTTAAATTTAATCAGTTGTCGTTACACTTAAACAATAAGTCTATATGAAATTCAAAATTTTACTTGCTATTCATAAATTTATTCACACAGTTAAACAAAACACCACATCTTCGAATTAAATATAAAATCTGTGCTCTTCTATGGCAGTGAAACATAGAAAGATTCCAACCGCATTTAATCAAAAATACAGTCCTCCATAAACAAGTGCTTACGCAGAATACTTGGTATAAGATGGACTGAAAGAATAAGAAATGATTGGTGGACGCAAATGGGTACAATGGAATCATATTGCAAGAACAG